TCAATCAGAGTGGTTCCACTGGATGCCTCACTGTGTTTCTGATGTTCTAGATGCAGTGACAATCACCGCTTTTTCTACAATATCTGGCTGCTATAATTTTGGCTGCTTCCCACGCCAGTTGGAAAAGAGTAGATCATTCAGGCTAGAAGTTAATTGATGAAAAGCAAAGTATCATGTTGACTATACAAGCAAAAGACTACATGTTCAGACTGTCATTTTACCTGCTGCTCTAGCAGCAAACTATCTAGGTGCTTAATTGTATTTGACATCATGGATGATGATATGTTTATTACGGAGGTGGAAAAAGACGCCATTTTAAACAGCACCTTGCATTCCTTTTATGAAAATAACGCCAGAAAAAGAAAGCATGGGCTGAAATTGTTTTAAAAAATATTCCTTCAAGTTGATATGATAATATAAATTATTATCATATCAACTTATTATTTTTGCCCCGTATCAAGTGCTGTATGTGCTACCTTGTACTTTAAAAGGGTCATGTAACAATAAACCCAATTTAATTTAGCTAACCATAATCATGTAACTATGTATGACAAATTTATAAAACCTTTTTTAAAGTATAGTTCAACTGTCATCTGTTTTGTTATTGTTTTTTCTATGCTGTACATGAATAACAATGAAGTTCGTAATTTTGTTTCCTCAAATTTTGTTTGCATTTGCTAAAAGTTTGAATTTGACCCTATTAATTAATATCAGCTATATATTTTTCAGATAATAAAAAGGCAGGTTTGCCATTTAACATCTTTTGGTTTAAAATGTATTATCAACAGTTGTGATACTTTATGTTAAGTACTAAACAAAGCAAGATACAGGGGCATGTTCATTGCTTACAAACACACTTTAAAATCCTCTGCTCTCAAAAGACAAGACACGAGGAATAACACGTATTTCTTTACTTCTTTCTTTATTACTTTTCATTTAAATATGTGGAAAATACAGTATTAAAACTTTATTCATCTATGGTTGCAATAAAAACCACACACACAAATGAGATCTACTTACATATATATTAATAACTTTCCAAAGTCTACATCCTGCATTAAACATTAGTCCCCTGGGAGTCCACAAAATATTGTAAGCCATGATTTTTGAAAGTGACAGTTGAAAAAAACGTTTGTTCCAGGTGTGCTCTCTTCAGATATGGCTTTAGTTGGCTGCATCACCTACCATAAAAAAGTATTATATGATCCTAATGAGGTATATAAGGTAGACCAATACTGGGAGGCACGTCAGGTGTCCCATTCTGCATTCCTTCTCCCAGCTTTGATCAAACATATACCCCACCATCGCTTGTTCTTCTAAAGTCTGCTACTGAATGATTGAATCTGTCATCAGCATCAAAGACTGCTAAAAGCACAATGTTACGGCTGCACTGGGTGCCAGTTTTCCTTGTGGGGTTCGGGANACACAAATGAGATCTACTTACATATATATTAATAACTTTCCAAAGTCTACATCCTGCATTAAACATTAGTCCCCTGGGAGTCCACAAAATATTGTAAGCCATGATTTTTGAAAGTGACAGTTGAAAAAAACGTTTGTTCCAGGTGTGCTCTCTTCAGATATGGCTTTAGTTGGCTGCATCACCTACCATAAAAAAGTATTATATGATCCTAATGAGGTATATAAGGTAGACCAATACTGGGAGGCACGTCAGGTGTCCCATTCTGCATTCCTTCTCCCAGCTTTGATCAAACATATACCCCACCATCGCTTGTTCTTCTAAAGTCTGCTACTGAATGATTGAATCTGTCATCAGCATCAAAGACTGCTAAAAGCACAATGTTACGGCTGCACTGGGTGCCAGTTTTCCTTGTGGGGTTCGGGATGCAGGCCCTCTGCAGGTGTTATGTTTGCACTGATTGGTGCTCTGTTGCTTTAAAGCTGCTATGCATGCAGCAGAACCAATTTGGTTTGGTTTGTATTGGTTTGGTTGGGTTTTGTTAAGTCTGGTTAGTTATGTTCTTTGCATTGATCTATTTTATTATTATTATTTTAGGTATTCTCCTTTCAGTTTTTTATTTCTTTAAGATAATTTAATAAATACAATCAGAAAATCCTTGTGTCGGGTTCATAAAATGTAGGTTTTTTTCTAAAGAAGAACTGAAATACACGATTGAAGAACTGAAATTCAGACTTATCGATACAATTCCTGCAGGAAGGAAAGACAGTTGAACCCCTGACTCACTGGACCTCCTCAGCAGAACAGAACATGACACATGGTTACAAACAGAGTATTGTTCTGACAGAGCAATTGATCAGTTCATGAAGGCAGAATGCTCCATCAGAATGACAAGGCAGGATGGTCTCCTGACTGGATCATGAGACAAGAGTGGAGCATTCCCTTGCAAAAATGTTTCATAAGCACACATTAATTTTATAATCATCATTGAATAAACCCAACACCTTGTGTGGTCTCCTTTAATGCTACACCACCACACAAGCCTGGTGGATGTAACAAGAAAAAAAAAGTATTTTTATAGTTGATGAACTGATTACTAGTGGTGTTGTTGTTAGGATGGCAGGCCGAAGGCAAATATCAGTATTCTGACAAACAATTTTCGATATTAAAAAACGACCACAGCAAAAAGGCAAACAATACCAACCAGCTAACCTCCACATTCACACCGACTCACACCCACACACACACAGGACAGAACACTTCCATATAGGGACCAGTTGAATGTCCCCATATGTACCTGTAATTCCCCACAGGTAGGATATTTTACAAAATATTGTCACTACGTTGCAGGTAAAACAAGCGTTTACATGACTTATGGGGAGAATTTATTGACTTACAATCATTTTATATGGCCTAACCCAGACCCTTACCC